CCAAACAGCAAGAGCGCCTCGAATCGGTGAGATGCGGCCATCATGGATCCAAAAGTGATTACCATAGAGTTTCAGTGCTTCTGCTCGGTCGCGCTTTGCGTCTTGCTCGATGCTAGCCATGCGATGTTGGACATAGTCGGCCTCGTCGAAAGCGCAGCCTTGCTGCTTCAGACGGGCAATCTCCTCCCCTAGGTCAGAAATCTGCAGCTCGCGCATCTCGGCGGCTTGCTGTAGCCTTTTTCGCAGCGAACGCTTGCGGTATGCCATGCTCATCAACGGGGAGTCGTATTTACTTTGCGTTTGAGCGGCTGAGCCCAAGAGTCCCTGGCCCGGTGCGGGAATTGACCTACTGGCTCCGTCCATTGCTGTCCGCGTCAATGTAATCACGGCATGAATCGGCAAGCCCATCTCGAGAGCGACATTGGCCGAGGTAACAATTTGAACTCCTGCGCCTTCCGACTCCACAAAGCCGTTGCGAGTCGACGTGGCTGGCCGGCTCATCTCGGACGGCTCCCGGCCTCTTGCGGCATCATCATCCGCGTCGACTGTAGCCTTGAGATTGGCAAACTCGTCGGAAATTTCCTTCAGCATATCGTCGAAGCCGCCCACCAAACACATCTTGGCCTTTCCGGCCTGTATCAGATCAAAGGCAGTGTCTAGAGACTCCAGCGCAGTGGCACATGCTCCCACCGGCGTCTTGTTAGGTCCGGCAGACGACATGAGAAGCATGTTTATCCAGGCGCTGGTGGAGCTGATGAAGGACTCGGCAAGGATATCCTTTGCTGCCGGCTGATCTTGATAGCGCCCCTTGAACATTTTTCGTATGCTGGCACTTCCCCCGAAACCAGATCCCGTGCAATTCGCCACCTCACTTACATGCAAGTGCTCGTAGAGCTCGTAAGCATCGGATATGCCCGCAGACTGGAGGGCTTCGGCCGAGGCGACCAGCGCAAAAAGAGTCACTGGATCGACTTGGCCGATGATTTCTTCGGGGATGCCATACGTGCTGGGATTCCAGCCCGCAGGGACTTGGCCAGCGACGGTATGTTGCGTCCGCAGCAGCTTGGGTATCATGATTTTCGCCCCCTTTTTCAGCACAATCTTTGACTGGCCTGTTTCTTCATTGGATATGACGATCAAGTTGTCGCCATGCACGTTTTTCAGCTGGGTTGCGGTTTCATTGCTCACCTCGACTGGCTCATGGTCTTTGGAAATCTCGATCTCGTGCAGCGACTCCATGCCCTTCCATGAGGGTGAATCTGGTTTACTCTCCGCATAACGCAGACCACAGTTTTTACGAATAAAGTCGTGATATTTCTCTTTGATTTCCCGGTCGGCAATTGGCTTATTGGTGCTCTTGTCGATCCATCCTGAGAATGGCCTTCCGTCCACAATACCCGAATGCGCCTTGATGAGGCCCATGATCCATGCCAACTCGACGCACGACTCTAGCGACAGAGAGCCGTTGACTTCCATGTCCCATCTGGTTCTCGAGTTGCCCCACGGCCCTATTTCAGCAAAGCCTGCGACGACAACTACGTGGTCAAGATCAACCATGCCCTTCAGCTGGTCCGCCATGGGCATGATTTCGGTTTTCCAGTCGGGGAGCGCAGGGAAATTAAAGTCAATGTTGGCTTGTGTTTCGATTTCCTCTTCCATACTCACTGCGTGAGCATCAGAGAGCGCCTCAAGTCTCATCATGCGCCTGTCTTCGCTCAGCTGATTGACGGCGTCTCGAATCCCGGTGACAACACCCTTCAGGTCGGCTATTTGGGCCATGCCGCCGCTTAAATCAGCGAGGAGCGGCTCGTCAGTACACAAAGACACAATGGCTGGATCCATCAATGCCATGATCTGGAGCGCCATCTCATCCTGCGAGTATGTACGCATACCATGTTTCTCAATGCCCTCGGAAACAATGTCATTGTCAGACATCAACGATGTTCCTCGCGTCCAGCCGATAAGCGCACCACATATGAGTAAATAGTCTGACCAGTCTTCCGAGTAGAATTTATCAAAGAACGACTCCAGGCCGAGCTTGGACTCTGCATAGAGACCATCGCCACCAAATGTTCCGTGGTTGGGTGACAGAGGAAGAATCACTTGCGCTGGGCGCGTAAGGATTTTCTTGGATTCTTTATGGTGTTTGACTCTTCCCACTAGTCTAATTGTGTTTGTGAGCATTACTCGATGAGCAAGCTCACTGCGCGAGTCGATGTTGTCCATATTTCGACCATTCTCCGAGATGGCCGCAAACGGGATGACATAGTCGAGATCCATGTCAAGGCCGCCGTCGTCATAGATGTATGTGACCAAAGCTTCGACATCACGGACACTGGCCTGGTTGAAAGGGACGAGTATCAGTTTGGAGCCCTTGCTGCCGTGCTCAGCGAACAAGCGTTGGTAGAATCGAGTCACCCTGGGCGAGTAGGAGCTGCTGGTAACAATGACATGGGCACCAGCGGACAGCAATTTAGAAACCAGACTGCATCCAATAGACCCTTCGCCTGCACCTGTAACAAGTATATTTCGGCCCGCGAAGGAGAGGCCGGTTGTTCTTGCGCCTGCCAGCACTCGATGCAACGTGCATGAAAGACTGTCGAGGTACTCCCAAGTATTGCAAACTTTGCGGCCAATCCTTGGAAGCACATCATCGTCAATTCGCATTCCCCTAGGCCTCTCACTGTAGACTATCTTGCCGGATTGATCGATGCTGGTCACGGGGGCCATCGACTGGTCGTGCCAGTAAATCACCGGCATCTCATTCACGGACGTCTCGCATCGGGATAAGAGGTCGCGCGGGATTTCAGCCACATGAGCGTTTGTCGTCGTACTTGAAAAGTGACGTATCGCGCATACGAGCCTCGGGTGAGCTTTTTGCACCATATTTCTTTTCAGGCGATCCATGGTCGGTTCCATATCACGCAGACTCCCAGATGTGGCCGTGGAAATCAGCATCATGAGATCTTGCATGGCCCAGTTCCACCAAGAATCATAGACGCGTGCTTTCAGTGGTGTAAAGATGGGTTTCAAACCAGATGCGTAAGCTTCGCCATGTTCAGTATTCCACTCGTCCAGCTGCCCTTCCAGTTCCGATATACGTTGGCGGAGTGCGGCATTTGCAGCTTCCGGGGCATCAAGGTCGACGCCCAGGAGTCTGGCATAGAGTTGGAGTTGCTCCCTAAGGACTGCTCTTTGCCTTTCTTCCAAGCAGTCTAGGACCTCAACGCCGACCATTGTTTGGGCCGCAGAAGGACCTGCAGAGCTCGACTCAGCCGGTAGGACCAGACCTTTTTTTTGAATATATTGCTGGACTATGCCGTCGATAAAGACCTTGGCCTCGTCATGATTCTGTAGCCTGGCTTGCGGTTGTGACGCCAAAGCCGCGAGTAGTACACTATCCTGACGGCCAGGACCGAGTCCCCATTGTTTCTTAAGATACTTGCGTATTCCGGAACCCTGGAATGATCCGCTAAACTTGTGTGAGGTCATCTTCTCGATTGCCGAGCAACACTTGGCCCCCAGCTTTCCAGCAAAGGTGCCTTGTACTAAAGAGCAGAAATCGTCGATGGACATGTCCTCTGCACCATCTGGTATAGCACCAAACTCGGCCCCGAGATCTCCAACAATCTCATTTTGCAGAGTCGAGCGACCTCCGGAAAGCGCCCTTATGGATTTGGTCGTATCAACACCATCCAGTGGCTTTTTTAGGCCCAAGCAGACAATGGTTGTAGTAATATCGATTACGCTTGCTGGCTCATCTTCCAACTCGACTGCCATGACAGTAGACTGTTGAACGACGGTGGCTGGCGCACTTTCTGGGGGCGAAGGACTCTGTGCCAACGTGCTGGGCTTCGGCTCAGATCCCCCAGATGCGTCTTCAGTCTTTTCGTGTGATGATGGATTCACAGTCCTTTGCTCGTAGGATATTTGATCGTAATTTTGCTGAAAACTTAACAATTGTCGCGAGATGTTTGCCGCAGCGTCTTGTTGCGCATACTTTTGCGCTATAGTCCGTTCGGCCATCTTGACCAATGTATTACCTGGACCCAGTTCCACCACTCGGTTCGTCTCCTTGTCTCCCAGAATAAGATCTTGCGTCTTGATCCATTGGACGGGATAACAAAACTGATGGGCCAGAAGCTCAATGAGAAGCGTGCAGGCCACTTCATTGTCTTTCTGAAGCGCCGCCTCTGACGCAGAAACTGCTGTATGCATTCTAACAGTGGAATTCAAGATGCAAAATCGAACAAAAACGATGCAGTAAATTTGTTGTTTTGCTGCAAGGGTTCAGGTCGTGTATCGATCAACCAAATAAACCTGGCCCAACGTCTTTCGCATCCACCAAGGGTGGAAAATATGGACGTCTTTTTTGGTATTACTTGCTGAGCAGGTGTTAGCTAATTTTGGCATGATTTGAAACAAACCAGATTCACTTCCGCTTACAATACAGACAACTGCTGATGCACTAGGTCAAAGTCCTTGTCGGATGACTTGACACTGGCTTATGACAAGGCGTCGCCTTAGCATAAAAGATATTAGGTCGGTGCCCCACAGATATTACACGCCATTTCAGGTGTGAGCAGTGGCATAAGAGTCTTATTCGTGACGACATTTGGAGCTTGTCATGCGGCAAGGGTCAGGGCGTGAGCTTATGGTTCGGCCTGTAATATTACCACAAAGGGAAGTACATGTCAGGCCACAGCATTCTCGACGCCCATGCTAAAGAGAAGTTTTCTACTTCGTGGCCTGGACAGTCTTGATGTCTTTTCTCAGATAGTAGAGTAGAGCTAATACCTTTGTGGCTTATAGACATAGACTGGCCCCAGAATCATGTCCAGAAGGTTTACGTTTGGGGTGTTGGATACATCTAAGTCTTAGACTCACTCAAACTTGCCGTGGCCTGGTAGCCTGTCAAGCTTGATACTCAGAACCATATACTGTTCCTAACGCGCACCGCGCAAAGGGTTGCAGAGATCCTCAGCATCATGATGATAAACATGCAAATCTTTTTCCTGTTGGCATCTGTACTGCTTGTGGTGGTCATCACCTCAGTAGGAGCCCCTTGACAACTTGAACGGGCACGAAGTGCTAGCACTGCTAACACTGCCTAGATAACAGTGTTATGTATTCGACGCTTGTACTTCCACCCTCTTTCAAAATATCCTGGGCCATTCCTGGCCAGAGTCACGGACCTGTATGCTGCCTACCATGCCTGGAAGGGCGATATTCACGTCGACATGTGGAGGCAACATGAACGCTACGGTGCGCCTCGACGCATAGAAAAAGCAACGGCGTATTGTACTGACCATCATAACAGGTCCTTGCGTTCGATACGCCCCAAACAGACTGAATCTCAACACGACGGGTGCGCTCAAAGATATATACTCTGGGAACACGAATTTCCAAAAGAGCCCAAACTACCGCGTTCTCCGCCATGGTGCGGCCAACACGTTGACCATGGTCAACAGGCAAGAGCATGCTCGTCGACGCCGCATCGTCTCGCAGGGCTTATCAGATGCCGCTCTGCGCTCTCACGAGCCCACGCTGCTGGCGCATATCAAAAAGTGCTTCGCATTGATCACGGATGCCGACTTTCCGAGCCAAGCCCAGCCACAAAGTACCGAGAAAGAAGGACAGAAGGGCTGGACACGGTCGATGAATATGTCGGACTGGTTCAATTGGCTTACATTTGACATCATGGGCGACGTCGTTTTCGGCATAGGCTACGATTTGCTCGCATCGCCTCAAAATCGCATCATCCCACGGGCCATTGAAGAATCCAACGTGCGCATGAGTGTCTTGTTGCAAAGCCCCATCCTCATCAAGATTGGTCGAATCGACCGGTTTCTGTTCCCCAAGGCCATCGCAGCACGCAACCAGTTCCTACACTTTGTGAGCGGTCTCGTGCGCCGTGTCTTGGGCACCGAGTGCAGCTTGCAGACGCGCACCGTCGTTTCGGCTCTCAAGTCGGCGAGCGACCCCGTCACTGGCGACGCGCTCTCCATGAAGGAGATCTTGGCGGAGAGCACCACGCTGTGCGTTGCCGGCGCCGACACGACGTCTACCGCTCTGGCAGCCACCTTTTTCTACCTGGCGAGCACGCCTCGTGCCTACCGCCGCCTGCAGCAGGACGTGCGCCGGGCGTTTGCCTCGTCTGACGAGATTCGCAGCGGACCGGCGTTGGGCAAGCTCACCTATCTCCGGGCGTGCATCGAGGAAGCCCTACGCATGTCTCCGCCGGCAGGGTCGTCGTTGTCTCGGGAGATTCTAACCGGCGACGCCACGGTGGATGGCCGGGCGCTGCCTGCAGGTACAGAGGCCGGCGTGCCAATTTACGCCATCCATCACAATGCAAAGTACTTTCCGGACCCTTTTGAGTACCGCCCTGAGCGATGGCTGCGTAGCGAAAGCAGCACTACGGGACCGAGCGTAGACGATGCCCGCGCGGCCTTTTGCCCTTTCTCTGTTGGCACTCGAAGCTGTGTGGGCAAGGGGATGGCCATGATGGAGCTCAGCCTGACAGTTGCCTACGCAATGTACACGCTCGACTTTACTCTGACGAGCGAGAATGACTCCCTCAAAGGCTGGGGGTTCGCGGACGAGTTCCCGCTGGCAGATCATATAACTGGGTCAAAAAAGTAAGTCCAACCCGAATGCAGGCCACGTACCAAGTTTCATGCAAGGTGATGAGTGTCAGACACTGATGACGAAGCAACAGTGGGCCATTCCTTCGCTTCAAGTCTCGCGACTTGTGAGGCCAAGTAGCCAACGTGGCAGTTGGCGCTCGTGGGTGATGGAGCCGGACGTCGGCTGGTCGCGAATGCATCGATGCCGTACCCAATTGGGCAGTTTTATTTTCAGCTAATTACTCTGTACATGTCAAATCGATTCCATGTATCTTGTCTGTAGTAACTTCAACTAGATGCCATATTAGAAGACGTGTAAATAAAACGCTTTTATTTCTTGGCTCTTCTTGCTCAAGGCCAATGTATGTTGCCGACAAGTTATAGGGTAGTTGACTGTACGCATTACCCTGCCTCGAAGCTAGTCTCGAAAATAGGCCAGGATCTCACCCATGGCAAGAAAAGCAATATTGCCCACATGACGGAATTTGCTACACTGAGCACCTGGATCCGATGGCCAAAGAAGGATCGAGTGTTGTGGTGAAACCGTGGATTACAGCCCGGGCATCTTTTTGCATTTCCGCACTTTACTGCGGAGTACTCCGCAGTTAAAGTGGATACGGGGCGTATATGGAGTACAAAGGAGAGAAACGCGACAGAACCAGGTCGAGCAAAGGTGAGAATGAATACACTAGGCTTGTGCTTACACACACACTCCATTCTACAAAGATGCTTTACTCTATACCTGTGACAGGCTTCGTCTAGCAAGACGTAATTACTCAAGTGACGCCCGTGTAGTACGTCACGTCAATGTACGGAGTAGGGTAGAGCCAAATGAAGGAGAAAGAGTGGAGCACATGCACGGCACGAGCCGCAGACTGAACCCCACTCAGTGGGCTTAGCTGACAGCCCAAGCGCGGCCGAGCCAAGCCGGCAGCCGCCGAGGCCCATCGTGTGCCGCTTCGCACTTGTCCAGGACGCGTATTGGCGGTTTCATTGTTCAGCCGCAACCAAAACGTTCCAATGATGGTTGAAAAAGCGGGCGCCTCATCTTGTTCAAGATCAAAATTTTCCACATCGGGCTGCCACACCCACTCATGTGCCGTCACCTGTAGGGCTTGATCACGCTGCCCTCGTCGTCCTTTGCGTTGGCCCATCCCCTGCTGCTTACGCTGCTTACGACAGGATTTACGTATACAGTTACGTCTGCACACGTCTCTCCCTCTCGCCCGGCAGGCTTACCGTCACGTTTAAGTTCTCTTACCTACGCCCTGGCTCATCGTCTCCAACCGATACGCCTTTTCCCAACATGTTCTTGTTTTGAGCAGAAAAACGGCACGACTTTCTCCTATTCCACCTTTGACGGCTCATTTCAATCATTCTTCGATTCTACGCTACGATTTGCCATGTCTGCGCATACCGACTCCTCGGGCACGCTCATGGTCCCTAGCCTCAACGGCACCATTATTCCCTACTCCCAATGTAGCATCGACACTTGCTCACTTTCCTATGCACAAGTGCAGTACCAGCCCTCCGAGAGCGGCAACCTCGCCTACTTGATCATCTTTGCCGCTGTACTTTTTGCCCAGTCTGTTCTTGGAATCATATACCGAACATGGGGCTTCTCCATCTCCATGGTCCTTGGCCTGGTGCTCGAGGTCATAGGATATGTAGGGCGTGTACAGATGCACAATGACCCTTTCAAGATGGACCCTTTTCTCATGTATGCGACGTTGCTCGTTGCGACCCAAGGACAGTACTTGTGCTAATGGAGAAACAGATACCTCATCTGCCTCACAATTGGTCCCGCCTTCCTATCGGCAGCCATCTACCTCTCCCTTTCGCGGCTCATTGTCGCCCACGGAGCATACCTCGCTCGCTTTGCGCCTCGCACCTATACCATCATCTTTGTCACGTGTGATGTCATCAGTCTGGTCCTACAAGCGACGGGTGGTGCATTTGCTGCCAGCGACGGCGACGCCAGTCTCAAACAGACGGGCGTCAATGTCATGATTGCCGGCTTATCGTTCCAGGTGGCTAGTCTGTTGACATTCATCGTCCTTTCAGCAGACTTTTGGTGGAGACTAAGAGGGACGAATGGGGGTTACGAACAAAAGGCCATGAAGCTGAAAACGTCAACCATGTTCAGGGCGTTTCCGTGGGGTGAGTCGAAGCTGTTATCCAGCCGTGTGAGGCGGTAACTAACAAGCACAGCGACCGGAATCGCCACGATAGCAATTTTTATTCGATGTGTGTACCGCTTGGCAGAGTTGCAGGAAGGCTTTGCTGGAAAATTGGCAAATGACGAGGTTCTGTTTATGATTTTTGAGGGTCCGATGATTATGCTTGCTGCGATTGCCATGACAATCTTTCACCCGGGGTTTTGCTTCAAAGGGGCTTGGGGGTCGCTGAAGTAGACATCTCCAAGGGAAAGACGCAAAGGCAGCACAGGGGAGAAGCATTCCATGATGGAACTTGACAGGCGACACAGGGTCGGAACACTAACAATGGTCAACTGGAGTTGATGGGAGCCGGGAATCTATTTCATAACATGCAATTATTGGGTATACAAGGTAGAGATATGTACAGGGTTAGAAATCAAAGGTTAGATGAGTACCAAAATACAATGCAATACATTGATCTTCTCAGTCATCCAGTTTAAATGCGCAACACGTTAATCTAAGCTGTCCTTCATGGTGTTGTGTACTACACGCAATGGCTTGGCATTGTGAGATGATGCAGTACTGCCAATCATATAGTATGTCCGATTAAACCTTGTGCATGCAGCTTGCTGTTATGCTGCGATAAATCGCTTGGGGCACATGTGCCATCAATGGGACAAGACATATATGACACACAGGCTGCGGAAATACATGGTTACTACCTAGAGAAATGGCAGCTAGAAACTTTGATCAAGTCCAAACCCTAGGACATGCTGCCTGTGTGGCAATGCCTACTTGTCGCGATGGTAATCAGGTTTGGCGATTTAGCCATGGAGCAAAATGATGCATCCTTGGCGGATATTCTCAATATCCAGCTTATAAGAGTGGCCTTGTGTCTCGATCTTATCTCTTTGGCCATGACACTCCTTCAGAGCCACAGAGAATATTTTAAAAATCGAGTTCGACGCCCTGCAGACGTCAACTGGTGGAATGACACACCTCTCTACTCCGTACTCTTTGCACATTACGAAAAGCGCAGGATCTTGCGGGCGTTGTTAATGGCAGGGATTAGCTGCGTGTACTGGGCATGTCAGCCGTCCCTGTTGTTATGCTGGACTTGATTGGGCGCTTACGAAGTAATACTAGGGACCCCTTGTCGGATCCTGCCGCAAATCTACGGAGTACAACCGCTTCTCGCGCTTACAGACACGCCTTACGGAGTAGATGTAGTACTTACATTGCATTAGGTCCCTGCAAGGTGAGCTGACCTTGCTCCGTACTCTGCACTCCACACACCACCAGCGTATGCTGATGATGTGAGCCTCTGCTGGGTGTACGCGTTGCCATGATGTTGCAGAAATCTTCCGAACGTGTCCGTCAGCCTGGAAGGCATGCACATCTCGAGGCTAAATCAGACCTGCTGGCTACTCCCGGATTACGAAAATTGAAGTCATGTAAAACAATACGGCATAAGAGATTCTCACTCAGCGGAAGAATGAGGTCAAGCCCGGTACGGATAAAGATTGCTCATTTGCGTGGCATCCATCTCCCTGCCATTGGAGAGTTTCGTTGGAATATATAGATCAAGATATGGTCAAAATTGTCCCAAATCAACCGACATCACACACACGCCACAACTTGCCATCTTGACATACACCATGCCACCGCCTGCACCACTCGCCAACATCGACTGGGCCCGCCTGGGCCTGACGGTTGCCGACATCGTCAACGGCCATGTAGAAACCACCTGGTCTTCCGAAAAGAATACCTGGACGGCGCCGACCTTTGTCAAGGACCCCTATCTGCGCGTGCACGGCCTGTCCCCCGCGCTCAACTACGGCATGCAAGCCTACGAAGGCCTCAAAGCAAGCCGCAGCGCAGACGACACCATCACCATCTTCCGGCCAACCTTTCACCACCGGCGTCTCGTCCAGTCCAGCGCAGCCGTGTGTCTGCCCGCAGTCCCCGAAGACGTCTTCCTCAGCAGCATCTCCCTGGCTGTCCGTGGCAACGCGGAATTCGTCGGCCCCGGCGACTCTGCGGCCGTCCTCTATCTCCGACCTGTAATCTTTGCTTCCGCGCCCCAGTTGGCATTGGAGCCGTCCCCGACGTGTACTCTGGCCATATACGCGCAGCCGGCGACGACATACCACGGCGTGCGGCCGGTGCCGTGCCTCGTTCTCGACAATTTCGACCGGGCGGCCACGCGCGGCACCGGCTACGCCAAGATTGGCGGCAACTATGCGCCCGTCATCAAGTACAGCCAGGAGGCGAAGCAAAAGGGCTTCCCCATCACGCTGCATCTGGACAGCAAGACTCAGGGCGAGATTGAAGAATTCAGCACAAGCGGGTTCGTGGGTGTCTTGAAGGGGGGTGATGACCAGGAGTGCCCCCGGGCCACGCTCGTGGTTCCAAACAGCACGCAAATCATCGACAGCGTAACCAGCGACAGTGTTTTGGTCCTCGCCGAGGAATTGGGCTACACGGTGGAGCGGAGGGCAGTCAAATACTCGGAACTCGGGCAGTTTGACGAGGTTCTTGCGTTGGGAACTGCAGGTAGGTTGTGCAAGTTCCATCACGCGCTTTCCCTCGGCCACCATGGGCCTCTTGATCGACTTTTGTGCGTTGAGACATAAGACACTAACGTGAATATAGCCGGCGTGCTTCCCATTTCTGCGATTGTGAGGGAGAGCACGAGCGACAGGTTCGAATATTGCCCAAGCGGTGATGCTGGTCCTGTAGCGGTCGAGCTAACCGGTGCGTTGACGGCCATGCTTAAAGGTAGGGCAGAGGATAAGAATGAGTGGCGATATGAAGTCGTCTTTACGGACTAGAACCAATGCGTCATGGGCACCGGAAGAGGTGCTTTTATGTCGGTACTTGTGGAGGCGGAGGTCTGTGTTGCATGTTTTTGCGAAGTGGAAGCGTTTGGCGGAATAGCCAACCCGAACGCAAGAATGGCGGACCATGTAGGATTCAGCAGGTCAAATGGCCATCGTAAGAAAAAAACAAGACAACGTTAAAGTTTGTATGAGTTTGCCAGGCCTCAGGAAAGGGATCCTGCTGTGGGGCGGCGCGTTCAACTCGCGCACAGCCAAGATCTCGCCATTGTTCAGATGGAAGTGGATGTGGATCGGCCTAACACAGACACTTGGTGGCATGTCGTGCATGTCCACGAGGTTCTCAGATGCTACATGGAACGAGAACATTAATTTGAACAACAGCGGTCTAGTACCAGACTCTACTTACAATCAATGGTGCCCCCGAAAGTGGTCGAGACTCGAGACTCCCAATGTCAACCCTGGAACGCCAGGGCACTCCGGTTGAACGCATCCGCCATCCCATCATGGAGCCTCTCAACAGCCACCGGGTCCGTGTCGGTACCCGTGAAAATCTTGCCCTGACGCACGGGGAACAGCAGCGCGTGCAATTCCCTGGCCAAACCTCGGAGAGGAGCAAAATCGGAGCAAAACTCGTCTAGAATTCCTTCAAAGCCCTCGGGGCTCATGTCGGCGGCCTTGTCCCGCCCAACAGCACCAAAGTCCATGCTGCACCATTTCCACAGCCGTGACGTCTTTGGCATATCCTCGAGTATGTCATTCGCCTCGTCGTGCACACCGTCGTTGGCAATAGCGATCCAGAGAAACACGTAGAACAGGGACTCCAAGTCGTGCCGATACGTGTGCCGCTGTCCGGAGAGAATACCAATGGCCATGAAGCCATCTGATCCGACCATGGGCTCCACAGGACGGACATTGTCGAGATCCAGGGCAAAGTTGAAATCAAGCAAGACACCCTTTGGGCCGTCGGCGCTGCGGTGCGGGGCAATGATTAAATTCTTGATGGCGACATCGCGATGGAGAATCCTCGCCTTGACGTAGAGAGAGCGAAGAGCCCGGACAAGGTCGCGCAGGGCCTCCAACAGTTCGGGAATCGATGCGAACTGTCGGATCGGACGGCCCAGGGGGGTGGTTGCGACGCAGGACAATATCCGGTTGGCAAACGGCCGAGGAAAGCCCATCTCCTGGCGAAGATGGGCCACGCTCACGAGGTCCTGATGATCTAGGAGCTGGATGACACCCCAGGCGTTGCGCTCATGCGCCAGCTTCAGCAGACGGACCTCGGTGGGTTCTTGATCCTCTCGCCAAGAAAACTTGATGACGGTGTCTGGTTCCCCGGCTGTCTGTGTCGAGGCCGCATAGCACGTCGTTCCGGGCCCGACTATGTAGTCGGCTGTTGCCATCAACTCTGGCCGAAGGCGGAACGTGTGGCTCTGATGAAATGTGACGTAGCTGTCCGACTCAGGGGTACGGCGCTTTACAAAGGTGTTGAAGCCCGCTTCCTCGTCCGTCATCAAGGTGTAGCCGGCCAGGGCGCGCACCAGCAGATCCGGTTTCTGTGCCAGGTCGAGCCTCTCGCTGCTGTAGGCCCCCGATCGGTCAAAAACCCAGAGCTCCAGCATGGCGCCACGGACGAGGAACCCGTGGACAAAGCATCGAGCCGACTGGGCCTTGAACACGTGCCGGGCCGCAGAAGCAGAAGCGCAGAATGTCGTCGTCGTCATCAGCCGTGACGGGGGCGCTGTCCAGATGGAATTCACCAAACACTCGGATGCTGCCTGCGGCGGACTGGACATCAGATGTCTCGAGGTAGATGGCGGTCTTGGGCGTGCTACTCGTGTTGCTGAGCGGCTGGCTGCAGAAGCGCAAGTTGGCTTGGTCGACGCCGAAAAACAGCGTCTGGAATTCGGCAAGCCATTCCACCAGCACGTCCAAGTGAGCAAGGTCAGGGACACGGGCAGACAACTTGCCAACCATGTTGGCCGACGTCGTTTCTTGGAATTTGTTCTGCGTCACCGTGGACCACGACTTTCCCTCGAAATACTTGGCAAAGAAGCCATGGACGTTTGGCAACATGTTGCCTTTCAACTCATCCCGGAGAGACTCGAGGGCGGCCTCGGTTGGCGCGTGAGGAGGGGTGATGGACGACATGGCATTCGATATGCGTCTGGTGCTATCCAGGGAATTGTCAGCGGGAATAGCTCACTTTCGTAACATGTACTGACAGACCTCGGAGAGATTTGGGAGGGATCTCGCACGTATGGACACATGCATGGACATGGACCTGATTTGGGAAAAGGGAAGGCAAAAGTACAGTCAAGTATTGGAATGCAAAAGGTCAACGGCACCAGACCGTTCATTTCCACCAAAGCTGAGAAGACAAAGGCGACGAGCAGGTCAACTGGTCCGCCAAAGCGGGGCACAGCGCATCCTCAGGTAAATTGACTTGACATGGAAAAACAGCCGAATTTTCGCCTCTTGTCTAAAAGTGAGGCTGTCCGTGCAGCATGACCCACCTACTTAAGTAGCTTGCGGTAGGTTCAGGTGGGTAGATTCAATGTCAATTCATCGAGACTCGTGGCCATGGCGCTGTAGGGTGACGCACTGAGTTGTCAACAATTGAATGTCAAGTCCCCCGGATGCTTAGCCACATGCAGGGTGGGTACACTCGTCCACTTGGTCGCTTTGTTCAAGCTTTCCTCTAGCCAAATCGGGCTAGTACTTAAGTAGCAATTGCCGGTACTTGGACACGACTTCATCCAGGGTACCCCAGATACTATCCCACGCAATCTGCCGAGCACGCAGTCAGAGTTTTTATCAACGAGTTGGTAGCCTCAATTCGTCGTGATGGACTGCTTGGTACACCCTATTACAAAGATAGAATCCACCCTTTGCACTGTGGCCAACTGATAAGCCATAGCAACTATAGTCCTGCCAAATCTATCCCGAAACATATAGATTTGCCGCCTTGCCCAACTTTTTTGCCGCCATGGCTGCTCGCAATCTGGCTGTCACTTTTTGATAGACTGGCCTCTTCAAAATAGGACATTTATGTCCTGACCCTTCCCAAGTATCACCTGGCAAACTAATATCTGCGCCGCTGTCAAGTAACAACTGTACTATTCCTAGCTGTTCAGCCTTCATAGCTAGTTGGACAGCTCTACCACAGTCAAAAGTATCATGAAGGGCAACATTAGGATCCGCCCCATGCAAGAGTAATAACCGAACAATATCAATGTCATGCTTCTGAATTGCCCGGATAAGAGGGGGTTTAAACTCTTGCGGTCGAGAAATATCACAGCCCATAAAACTTTGATCCCACGTGGGCTGAGGGTGTGGGCGATCATCTTTTTCAAAGTCACAGTGAACACCGTAGCCTAAGAGAAGTCTTGCCATGTTCATATCCTGTTTGTCGACGGCGAGACCTAAAGATTGGGTACAGGCCACCCGGCTCGTTTTTGACACAAGAGCTTCTGCAATGGCAAGATGCCCGAATTCCACGGCTTGGATTAGGGCAGGGCCGCCAAAATCAGCGTTTGCGCCATGCTCCAGGAATAGGCAAACTAGATGGAGGTTTTTATGCTTTACCGCCCAATGGAGTGGGCTCCTCCGGTCCCGGCCAAAAATCTCGACATTCAAGTCCATGTTGTATGTCAATAGCTCCGAGATAGCATGGTCGTATCCGGCTCGCAACGCAGCTTCAAGCGCGTCTAACTTGTGCGTTAAACCAGGAGCAGTATCCAAGCCAATGTCGGTATAAGTTGCAGCGTCCTGGGTAGCGCAAGGATCAACAGCCCGAGAAGGAACTGGTCTTGTTGCCCCTGTGACACGATTATGGAAGTGAAAGCTTTGCGGCTGTGAATCTTGCCATATCAAGTCCCATTCATTGTCCGCTTGAATAGTCATCTCCGAAATCTTGGTGGCCTTCCCCCCTTGGGCCATGTCCCAGCTGTTCAGTCCTTCGAATATTGATGGTGGCTCTGGTGGCTCAAAGCTTCCGGGCACACCATGTTGCTCAAAAGATCCAGATACGTGGTTTGGTGAGAAGTTACAAGAGCCACATAAGGGGTTAGAACCAGGTGTATATTCTGGCTTGAAAGCAGGTTCATAGTTTCGCTGGAGAACCTTTTGCCAGTTTATAGACTCAAAAAAAGAATGATTTTTAATTTCAGACGCTCCATGTGCACCCAGGCGTTCCTGCGGCCTGCGATCAAGAAGGCGAGTTATAAGGTCCTTGGCTGCTGTGGATATATTGCCAGGAAATTCAAGAGGCTGTTTGAGGATCTTTTCCGTAATATTAGTGGGATTTTCGTCATAAAATAATGGTTCTCCCACTAGCATCTCGTAAAGGAAGATTCCCAATGTCCAATAGTCTGCCAGTCGAGTTGCATCATTGCCAAGGAGTAGCTCTGGTGCCGGATACTCAGCTACTCTAGGTGTCGTGGAATCTCTCTTCTTTGTCTCCAGGATGAAGAGACCGAAGCCGCACAGAACAATATGGCCTGAAAAGTCTAGAAGAACATTCTGCGGCTTCAGCCAACCAAAGATGCTATGAAAATCGTGAATGTATTCTAGCGCGCACAAAATCTCAGCGATATATAGTCGAGATGTATCAGTATCAAAACGTCGCTGATTCTGAATGTGATGAAAAAGATGTCCGCCGCCAACGTACGGCGAAAGAAGGTGTAATTCATATTCCGATTCATAAGAATGTGTAACTGGGGCGATAAATGGATGGTTGATTTGAGATGGTAAGAACGAGATCAGGTCAGGCGAAGAGATGTGCTCATTTGAGAACCACCCATCAGCATATCTTTGCCCTATATCTTCCGACTTGAATACTCCAACGTATCTTGATCTGCTTCGTATCACATCGCCCCCTAGTGACCGAAATTTCGCTATTGCTAGTGGCTCCTGCAAAGTGCGCTGATATTCGAAACTGACACGAACTCTGGCAGCACAATCAGGGCCCACTGGCAGCCAGTGTGAGTTGGCGGATTTTGAAATACTAAAAGGTTTTACTCGTGTTACACCCAAAAGCACCGCTGGCGCATCTTCTGGATCACGGAGATAGAAGGAAATGGTCAACTCTGCAAGACGAGCAACGTAGAATTTGCAGACATTGTAATCCTTTTGCACCAAGATAGGATCGCTTGCAGATACCAGATAGGGTTCCACTGGCACTTCGCATTGATCATAATTCAAGAGTGCATACCGAAGTTTACCATGTAGTGCAGGCAGGCCAGGAGCCTCATGAAGGGTTACCGTTAGGATGCAGGGTAGCACAATATCCGGCTCTTTAAAGTCTAAGCAACGGCATTATTAGCACTGCACGAAACGTGATTGAGACTTCAAGAATAGCTTCTTACTCTCACCCATAATCACAGCCCCTCTGGAGTCTATACTTTTCGTTGTTCTTGTGAGAGAGCGCGGCGGTTGCTCCTTTGGGTGGGAGACTAATTGTGAGGAAGATGCAAGACTTCAACAGGGACCAGACGTAGTTAGCAGGCGGGCGGGGCTTTTATTTATTTATTCAATCGCACCACACAGAGTAGGGGGTACCTAGTGTGATAATATGCATATGTGGCAAAGGTGACTTCGTATTGCATGGCTTGGACCCAGTAGTTGCATACTATTTGCGCCAAAAATGTAACCCGCCAGTCTACACAGTCTCGGACATGTACAAGCTCCGCCGCGGTATATAATAACTACAAAAGTTCATAGTAAATGTAAAGTACCTAGTCTAAGGGTTGAGTTGAATCTGATCTAAGCTCCAAAAAACCAGGCAACTATTGCTATCAAGTACATTTGCGAGCTAGGCGGGTAGGTTTAGAGTCGTTCGACAGTAATTTCCAAACCCTAGGACCACAGCACTGGAAGTGAATCCTCACCAGACGTGTACTTTGGCTTGCTGTACATCGTCCTAGAAGGGGAGTCCAGAGACTTTCATGGGAACCCCGCCCACGTACACAACCGGGTCGAGGCCTTCAGGTGCATTTAGATTCATGTACGCAGCCGTGGCAAAAAAAACGTAGGTTTCAGGATTGATAGTAAGCATTTCGTTTTGCTTTTGTGCTGCGTCTAAGACACTCTCTAATTGGTCTGCCGTGTCGCGAAAACCGTTAGCAAGAAAGCCTGAAAGACGAGATTCTTAAGAACGGGAGCTGGAGGAACTAGGAGAAACGTGCGTACAAAAGGGGTCTCTTGTCTCGCCATCATCTGTCAGATGGTATAGCTCGTGATAAAACGTCGCACTAACAGGCAGTATTCTATCTAGCGCAACATCATTTGCCGATTTTGAACCGGTAGGGTAGTTGCTAGCTGAGACAGCCTGCGCAAGAGATGGATAAGAGTGCGGGTCTCCTTCCTTCGGTGAGCCAGGATTAAAGGCATTTGGACAGAAGAGGATGTGTCTGTTAGTATCCCCCCATTCAACATCTTCTGAAATAAAAATTGGGAGGAATCGCCCTGCCGTGAGGGCATACCGGGTGATGGTCTTAACTGGACCGCAGATTTGTTTCTCGTAAGGGCTTGGGAGAGTCCAGGGATAAGTATAGCCATTGAAGGCACTGAGCCAGAAGGCGGAGCCTTTTCCCGAAGCCGCCATTTCTGGTCGGGCCTCTCTGACCGTCAAATATCTAGTCGGCTCTCTCGTGTTTTCGTCTCTCTCGAGTACGACATCCTTTCCATACTTGTCCTTCATAACGTCGCCCCAGTCAACATATTCAGCAGCATCACCTGAGCAAAAGACACGCGGGGCCTCCCCTGGCTTCTGTGGATTGACCAAGCCAGCTCCAGAGAGAAACTGGGAGACGCGTGAGATGCGGTCTGTCAATCTTGGTCAGTGAATAAAAGCATGCTACGATGCCAGAGGAACAAGAACACCACTTACCTCCAACTTCATTCCACATTTTTCTACTTTTTCTGTCCGTAATGCTAAAGGTTGGTTGTTTATCCTTGTCCGTGGCTACATCAAACTTGACTCCAAAGTATTGATTGACGAGAACCGCCAAGGCTTTGTTGGTCTTATAGTTGGCGAACGCTGTTTTGGCTGCTTCGTGCAGTTGGATAGCCTCCTTTAGCCATTCATCCATTACGCCCAACTTGGAGGCACAACCTCCTTTGAGATTGGAGTCTCCCACGGTGAAAAGATTTGAAATCGTGGAGACAGAACTTTCGCCACCATCACTTCCAGGATCCCGAACCCGGCGCCAGAGGATACCGTTCGCATTATCGGCATCAGTGTTGTGGCCGATATTGTACGCATTATGCTTACCCAAATAGCAAGCTTCGGAAACAGCGAGAAGGCAGAGCAACGACAGGAGAGCTGAAGTCAGCAGCCACATGTTGCAATAAAACAATTGATGGATTAGGCTAGTAGCGGCAAAACTAAGGAAGCAGAAGAGATGTTTTTTTTCTTTGGGGGGGGGGGCCGATAGGAATATTTGCGTAAGCTACGTTGTTTCATCGAACAGTAAAAATGCGACATTTGACATCGTTTTCATTAGCATCAAATTATGGGGCATATAACTGCAATGCGTTACGAATTTGCTTTTCCAAGGCCAACCGATACAGGGTTGAACCGCATGGGTTGCCCTGAGCAGTCTAACTGCATCGCGAGACAAACGACCCGTCTACAAGTTCTAGTCGGTAAAACTTACCGAAAGGTCCGAACGGCCGCGGACACACGTCAGGATGCTACACACATTACACTTAAACCAACCATTTCGTTGCTAATATTGGAGATGGTGTGGCTGATTATGGGGGATAGCGTACAGGTTAACATTTAGGTCTGGTGCGTATAGTAGTGATAAATGTTACACTAGCGGTCATTATGGGGGCCAATATCATGTGTCCCGTGTCCATTATGCTGTCTCCATTCTTGTTCGGAGGTAGCCCGACCAGGTATAGGCCGTTAGTATCACATTATGCCCTTTCGACAATTCGAACTAAATACCTCATTGTGGTGGGCCTTGGAAGAATCGGACCGGAAGATCGGCATACCAGGAGTCTTACATCTATCGCCGAGGTGAGCAGGTCGCCAAAAAGAAGAGAAAAAAATTATTCAGACTAAATTTACACTTTGATCTAGAGCCGGTATCACACAGGAAAATTTTATACGCGTAGCCTTACTAAGGGAGAAGAACATATTGGCATATAGAGTTGAATTAGTACTTTGAAAAGGTAAATATATTTTTCATATATTTATGTAGGCATGCCCTACCAAATCTCTTGCGTCTAAACTCGTCGATTCCCCAAACTGCCAGCATACCCCCCTTACGTCTTGATACCTATAGGAAAAACGCGCCATCTAACTGCATATTCCATGAGATGGTTCCGGGCTGTAGGTACATGTTTTCTGCGTTACACAATCGTTTTTCTCGCTAGAACACCGTAGATGTATCGATTTAAACTTCCATCCCTCGGTCCAAAGCCTATGACAAGTGTTTCTGCTTGTATAACCATAGCCGAACCATTGACCGGTGCAACCAGACTGCTCCCAGTAGCTGATTTGCACTTGCCCATTTGGACAGTCACCTACCGCAGCGAGGTTCAAAGACGCAGCCTGGCAGTTTGTATCAAGACATAAGCCATTGGTGTTACGTTGAATAGTAACCTCGTTGTATAGTGCTCCAGTGCAGTCTGCGTGGTAAAGAGCCCGGGCATGGAACGAGATAGGAATGCCAACACAATAGTAATAGCCCGCCCAGAGCCCAGTACAGTCTAGGAAATAGTTAATAAGCTGACAATAAAAACTTGTTTTGTTCTTTAAAATAATACATGGCGAAACCAGAGTCGTACTCACCAGCCTTAACAGCAGGATTCCACGTATAACTTTGCACGAAATTAGTTCGTGGTTCAACAAACAAAGCAGGGCTTCGGGAAACATACAAATCGCTTAGGCTGAAGCTTTGAAATTTGTCGAGAATGCCTTGGCAGGTATCTCCAGACGCAGCTTGATAGTATTTGTTGCACGATTGTATAATACCAGCCTGTGTAGGAGATGGACCAGAAGGCGGCGGCTTTGTAGTTGGACTTCCAGGAACGGCCACGCACACATAGTAGCCGGCCCATAAGTTATGGCAATCCAACCCTACTGCTGAATTCCACCTGTAAAAGTCTGATAGAGTAAATGTTCCGTACTTATCCACTATAATCTGGCAAGTATCTCCAGATTGCACTTTGTAGAATTTGTTACAGTCAGTGGCCATACCACCCTGTGTGGGAGTCGGCGTTGTGATGCCATTGCCGGCTGAAGTAGTCGTTCTTGTCGTAGTCGATAAAGATGACGATGATACAGTAGACGTGAAGGTTGTCGAGCTAACAAAGTTGGAGATAAAATTGATCTGAACGCAGTAATATAAACTCTGGATAAGATTGCAGCCCGCGCCTAGTTGAGTAACGCTGGGGTTCTGTGAGATATCTGTCAGATAAACAAGAAAGAATTGAATAGTGAGGATGGGAGGCGTTGAGACACTCACCCACTCCTGGAACTTGGCACTGCTCATGCCATAGGCGCTCTCAATACTAGTACATGTCTGGCCGAGGGATTGTTGAACCCATGCGCTGCAATCTTTGGTTGCGCCTGGAGCAGGTGTCCCCGGGGGCGAAACCAAATAGCCTTCAGCCAGGGAAGCTGCCAAAACGGCCAATATAGAGACAAGGGCCTTCATTGGTCAGGCAAGCAAATTGGGGCAGATAATGCAACTTCTGTTTTCTTCGAGAGAAGGAGAGATAGGATTGTTTGAAGGCGGTGAGGAGTGCAATAGTCTGCGAGCCCGGAGACACCAAGAAGTCAAGTAGGTCTTGGTCCAACAGCCGTATTTTGTCCTTTTGCTTCCTTCCTGACTAGTTCCATTTCGTATGGTATGGCCATGTCAGCAACCAAAGTTCTTTATCTTCCGAGTTTAGTTCACACTGGTCTAAATTTCTCTTCTGGTCTTTTCCTGCATGGTACCTTCAACCCCGAGGGTGTCAAAATGTTGATTGTTGGCTGTTGGTTTGAGCCAATATGCAGGTAAGAAATATCGGAACCAGACAAAGTCAATAGGAGTCGACCCCGCCATCTTCACACTCTGCAATTGAAACCAAAATAGGCAACTCGGTTACTTTAAGTCCCCACTACAAGGAAGTTGTTAGTCCCAAGTTCTAACTACTCTCGTCAGATTTTATGGACCAAACATGTCAACTGGTCAGATGAGCCCGAGGACGGAAAGAACTCAGGTGATGCGCCACGATGATGAGGCCTGAGTCCGGATTGACTGTCTAAATTTCGGTATTCTGCCGAGAGTTATCGGTTTGGGAGAAGCGGAACAATGCATTAAAAGCGAAATGAAATGCATGGTTGACGTTACACGGCATGTGTTAAATTAACAAGTTCCTCCAACAAAAAGCGGAATTCAGACGGCGATAAACGCGTGACGGCACATTTGTGCCCGTTTCGGATCTTCAATTCATCTAGCCAACATGTTTAGTATAGGGAATACCCGCCACTATGACATGACTGGTCAATCTTGTCAGGTGCGCTCTTTACGTTCTTTCTGATGACTCTCTAACACGTCGCACACGTTGATGCTTTATCGTTCCTAGATGGGGAACTTGCAGGAACGGATCCAGATATAATGCTACCCTAGTGTCTAAATGATGAGGAACCCTTGTCCGTTGGCATGTTGTATTGCTTGAAAGACTATGTACATCTGTTGACTGCTATCATTTTCATACTGATGCGGCTATAAGACAAGTTCTGTTAATTCCCCATATTTGTTTGTTGGGTAAGTCCATGCTGGAAGACCACTCTGCATTTTGTAATGAGTCACAACATCCTCGGCTGGTCCTAACATTCTTAACATAGTCCACTCGACATACCAGCCCCTGGCTGTTTAGGTGGATATTTGAGTGATATATCGGTTATAGAGAGCTTACAGCTGGCGAGACAGGTCAGATCTTGGTAACAAAAATGGCCGTAATATTTCGCGACTTTTGGCCTCGCTCTTGCCTCTATTCATTTCAAACAAAACACCGAATGCCATAAAATTCTCAAAATAGCAATTCTTTCTGTATTAATTCTTCTTGTACCTGATGTTGTCATTCGAACCCAGCGAATCTTACTGTCAAAGCCTGGGTTTTCTCAACCCGTCTTTGTCATTTGCTTTGATCGTTTCTTTGCTCCAACTGCTCATTCGAGATAATTCCTCGTCATGAGGTACCATAACTTGCAAGCTGCCATCCAACTGGCAGTTTTCTGGGCCTCTGCGAGCACGTTTGCAATAGACCCTCAGAATGCGGCCAGCGCCTATCTTGACTCCCTTCCCATCACGACTATCTCCGGAAATGTCGCCGGAAGACCAACTGATTTGGCGGATGCCCGCGCCGCAGTATTGGCTGGTAATTATACATCCAAGTTAAATGACACTACGAGACAACGTTGCCCTACAAGTTGTAGTAGCGTGGGCCTCGAGACTCACAATTGGTTCTCCTACTCGGATTTGAAACACCTCGAAGATTGCGAAAAGCCTATGCTTCTAGACTTCGCCTTGTTCAACCTTGTTCATGACAAAAAGTCGCGGATTAGTATTTCAGCATGTACCTCAGACTTGCAGCAGTTGAGTCTTTTTAAAAACAGTATAGGGTCATGTGTACGTGAGGGCGTACAGCTGACCGAAACCACTTCCCCTGTGCAGTTTTCCATGTCTGGCGATTCTGCCTCTAGGCATGTTATGGATGTCACTACAACACTCGACCAACTACGCGTATTCACATCTTTGTCAGAGCCGTATTGCAATGAGACGATAAAATATGCCTACTCTGGTAATGTTGTTATTGGGGTATACGCCGGGTCTGGTCTTGCTAATCAGCATGTTGTTCCGTCTATTCTCGAAAAATTAAGTCTTCAAATCAAGATCGACGGTAGCATTCATGAGAATCTCTTAGTTCAGATGTGCAGTAGTATTTCGTCTAGATACTCATTCGGTGTCTTTGTTAACACAAAGAGAGATCTGGGTTCTATCCAGCTTGGTCTTCAGACATGGAAGAATGGAAGCTGCGTAACAACAATGGACAAGACTATCCTGACCTGGCAGAAAATTGCGTACCTCATGCCATCTGCAGAACATGGCAATCACACCTTCAGCAGCAATTCAACCTTGCTATCGTCAAAGTCTCGCTTGAAACTTCGGGATGAGGCTTGTCGTACAATTCAAGTGCACGGCGGCGACTCATGCGGCTCGCTCGCCAGCGAATGCGGCATCTCACCAGACGACTTCACAAAGTATAACCCTAGTTCGACCCTGTGTGGGACTCTCACTCCAGGTCAACATGTTTGCTGCAGTTCTGGAAAACTTCCCGATTTCCGGCCCAAGCCAGATGCGAAAGGCTACTGCCATCCTTACCTGGTTAAAAGGGGTGATTCATGTTCATCTATAGGGGCAGCCTATAGCATAACTAATGACGATATTGAAAAGTATAATGAGAAGACATGGGGCTGGAATGGGTGTCAAAAGCTATTTGCCGACTACACCATCTGCCTGAGTAATGGCTATCCTCCCATGCCGGCAACCGTACCCAACGCCATGTGCGGACCACAAGTTAATAATACAGCGTCAACGCCACCTGGAACTGACTTGAGCTCTCTGAATCAATGCCCCCTTAATGCTTGCTGCAATATCTGGGGCCAGTGTGGCACAACAAGCGAATTCTGCACCATCTCCAAGTCCAGTACAGGAGCCCCTGGCACAGCGGCTCCGGGAGAAAACGGCTGTATCTCTAATTGTGGTACAGACATTGTCACGTCAAAGCCCCCTGCGAACACATTTCATATTGCGTACTTTGAAGCATTTGACTGGAAGCGTCGCTGTTTACACATGGCAGTCACCGATATTGACACTTCGACCTACACTCATATCCACTTTTCATTCGTCACCCTTGATGGGGACTTTTCTATCAACACCAAAGAAGTGGGTGATCAGCTACCATTGCTACAGGGAATGATCGGAATCAAGCGTATTGTGTCGGTTGGTGGCTGGGACTTCTCTACTAACCCGAGCACCTACACTATCTTCCGCGATGCCATGACGTCGGAGGCAAATCGCCAGACATTAGTTTCCAATGTCATCAAGTTCTTAACTCATTATGACCTGGATGGTATTGACTGGGACTGGGAATACCCGGATGAGCCCGATATTCCAGGAATACCCTCTGGCTCTCAGGCAGAGAGCATTGGATTCTTCCTATTTCTCGACGAGCTAAAGAAAAAGATGCCCTCTGGTAAAACGGTTTCTGTAACAGCTCCAGCGTCATTTTGGTACCTTCAACACTTCCCTATTCAGGCTCTGAGTCTGGTCGTCGACTATATCGTGTACATGACGTACGATCTGCACGGTCAATGGGATTATGATAATAAGTGGGCGAGTCCAGGATGTGTGTCATTCTCTGAGGGCCTTGGAAACTGTTTGCGGTCTCATATTAATCTTACCGAAACCATCAATGCACTTTCCATGATCACAAAAGCAGGAGTTCCAGCCAACATGATTGCTGTTGGCTTAAGCAGTTACGGACGTTCATTTCAGATGACCAACCCTAGCTGCTGGACAGAGCAGTGCACCTACACAGGCCCTCAGTCAGGAGCATATCCTGGTCTCTGCACTAATACTTCTGGTTACATTTCCGACTATGAAATCGGTGTAATAGCATCTCAAAATCCATCAGCGCAGCATTACTGGGATGCTGGTTCCTACTCTAATATTCTCGTCTTCAATGACACGCAGTGGGTTGCTTATATGAATAAGTCTAACAAGGCAACCCGCAAATTTCTCTATCCAGGGCTCAATTTCCTCGGAACTGCAGACTGGGCGGTTGACCTGCAGTCTGAGCATGGTAGCCTTCCGGGCGCAGGATCTGAATCATCAGGCGAGACTATTTACATAGACCCAGGCGTCTGGTCTTCTGCAGCTGCCAAAGTGGTGGCGCCGCCAGGCGCGACTCTTATCTGGCCACCAATGCCTCTTTCGACCACGACTACAATTAATTTCCCCCCCTGGACTACAACTGTCTCATACTCGAGACTGACAACCAAGACAAGTACCTTGGCGGACGGCTCGAAGACTATTCGTCCGTATTACGTTTGGATATCATGGCTAACAACTCTCACAATTCCACCAGGTAAGCTAAGCCATTGTGGCCATGTCGTCCGTCGTCACAGGAGCTTTTGCTAAGGACAATATGTATGTACGAAAACAGTGACAACAACGCGTATTCCTGTATGGGGAGTGTCTCTAGACAAAAGCTCTTCAGCTGGTACGATTTACCTCACGAGTTCTGTGCAGCCGCCGCCCTTTCCTGTTACCATCACTCCGTAAGTGCAACGTATATTCTCTAGTATTGCAGCTGGTGTTAACCTAAGTTGGGACCTTTTTTTGACCAGCATTATTGGCGGAACGACTTCTATCGTCAGTGCTACCAAAACCACTACCATTTTAGGCGGTGCTATTATATGGGGTTCTTTTACGTATACTAAACCTCAAGAGACGGAAACCCTGGGAGGGTCAACGACTGTCATCGGCGGCAGGACTCTCGCCCCCACGGTTATTACTGTCACTCCCAATCCCCATCCTACCACGGTGCCTTCGACAACAGACCCGATTATCAACCCTCACACGGTGGTGTGGACGTCAGGCACAGATCCAACGCCAACCGCATCACGAGGCTGCATTGGATGTGGCTCGCCCTGTAAGTTCGCAGCAAGCTTTTCATCTCTCTTCCTCATATTATATGCGTCTATTCAATACATCGAGACTGAGACCTTTCCTCAACTGCCACAGGTCGTCTTTTCTGTGATCCAGACTGTCCACTCTGCCCCCCCGGCATCTTTGGCCCTCCGGGTGGTGGTAGTGCTGGCGGCGGTGGTGAGGACGGTGATGACGAGCGGACGTCAACGAGGAGTACGGACTCACACGATCGTTACACAGTCTTGCTGGAGGGCGTGATTGCCGATGACATATTCCCCACGGGGTTCGCAGATATAGCCGATCTGTCTTCCCTATGGTCGCAAGACATGTCGTTGATGAGCGCTTCATGGGGGCCACCAAAGCCGACCAAGACTAGCAAGCCGGCCCCTACCACGATTCCAACCGCCCACCTTCCAAAACAGACTTGCAAGTCTCATAAGGACTGCTCTGGACCTTGCATTCTTACGGGATTCGTTTTGGCATGTGTCGATAATATCTGTCATTGCGAGTTTCCGAACCCGCCATCAGGTGATATTCTCTGCACAACGGAGTCGGACTGTAGTCAGTATTTGTGCGATGATGGCGGACTAGCATCTTGCGTGAACGGGGCGGCGGGTGATCCTTTTACGAGTCTTTGTGAATGTTAGTAATGTAGCGAAAATTTAAAGTGTAAAGTCGCTAAAGCTTCCAATTACCTATTTTCGGATAAGACTTTATAGGCTATTATAACTTGCACCGGATACGGGGTTGAAGCTTCTAACGCTATCATGTTCAAAGAGGACATCGAGGGACAAACGCCTGTCTAGAGGAGGGGTGGTTAAGGTTCATGCCTCCTGTATGTGTGTACTACTAATACTTGGATAAATTTTAAATAATCATACAGTATTATTTAAGAACAAGGTAATATAAGTTATTAGGTTAATATTAAATACTAAACTATAAGAGTATTTTGAATAGACTCGTAACCAGCCAACGCGAATAGACAAGATGACATCTTTGCAAAGTCTCCTGGCCGAGCTGGCAAACGCTGTAGCCGTCCACACACAGCGTATTGACAGCTATCTTCGTGAAAAGGCATTACCACACCCATCCTTCGCGGCCGACAGTCCCGTGGACCCCGGCCTGCCGCCGGAGCTGGAGCAATCGCGCCTTGCTGTGCTAGAGGCAAGCCAAGAGCTGAATGATCTTCTACAGGGCCCCACGGACATATTGTTCAACCATCATGTTTGTGTCTATCCGCGTTGGTCTGACACGGCATGTTTCAGCGCAGCTAATCAAGGTCACAACATAACCAGCTGGTCCCTCTCAAGCTCATCTCGCAATTTGACGTTGCCAAAGAGATTCCTGCCAACGGCGAAATAACTTTTGGGGACTTGGCGGCCAAGATTGGTGTCGATTGCGCCGCCCTCACCAGAACCCTCCGCCTGGGCATCGCCCACCGAGTGTTTAATGAGCCCCATCCCGGCGTTATTACGCACTCTGCAGTATCCAAATTGATTGCAGATGACTCCCGCGTGGCCGACTGACTCGGTACTAACGTCGACGACATGTGGCTGTCGGCCGAAAAGACTGTCGAGGCACTGGTGAAATGGCTGTCGGCCACGGAGCCAAACCAGACTGTACAATTTCCTCGCCGGGTATAGTTGCGTACGGTATAGCTTACAAACATCAGGGCTTCTCTCTGGCCAACGGCACGTCTGATTCCTTCTTCATCGAGTTGGAGAAAGAATCCTGAACGCGCATGACGCTTCGGGGGCACCATGAGCTTCTTCACCACGGGAGAAGGATATGCCCTCCATCACGTCATCAACGGGTATGCATGGTCAGTCCTTGGTGCCGCTACCGTCGTCGACGTCGGCGGTTCTCATGGCGATGCGGCGTTGCGTTGGCGCGCAAGTTTCCGCATCTCCAGCTGGTCGTCCAAGACCTGGCCCAAGTCGTGGCGAGTTGCAGGGAGGAGCCGGGTTTGAAGGTGCGGTTCATGAGCCATGACTTTTTTCGAGGAGCAGCCTATTCGAGATGCGCGTGTTTATCTGTATCGCTGGATATTCCACAATTGGCCCGACTCGTACTGTATCAGGATGCTGCGGGCGCTCGCACCGGCTCTCAAGGAGGGCGCGACAGTGCTCATCATGGACTCTATCCTGCCGCCCTCTGGGCTGCCGAACCTCATGGACCGGAAGTTGAGGTGAGCGTTCCGTAGCACGGCTCATTGTGCCGCAGGTTAGGCTGATATACTATAGAGCTATGGATGTTACCATGCTAGAAATTGGCAATTCCAAGGAACGCGACTCGGACGAGTGGAAGCAACTGTTTCGCCAAGCTGATGAGCGATATGTCTAGGGGCACGACGCAGCCACCAGGCTCAAACTTGGCCATTCTCAGGGCGGATTGGAGCATGTGAAGGCGTACTGAGAAGAATATCTGTGTGTAAGTTGGCGGGATATCGTACCTTTTACACCCCGTCGGCGGAGGCTCACGACATGCTTGGACAATAACATCATCAACCTCGGTAGGGGCAAATCTGAACCACTTTTGCCAGTTCTTTTGGATGGCTTGGGATTCTACCATGAATGCTTCCGCGGTGCACTTGAAAGTAATAGCAACGCAAACCGCGGCATCCGTCATTGTTGTCAGGCGATGCAGCACGTCGGGAGCAGTCCGTGGACGATTCTCGGACTCAACAGGAGATGTCACCTTCTTGATCAGCGCCGAGGCAGATTCGCCGCGGCGACATGGACCCACAAAGTCTTGATAATGGGGAAACTGGGCGAGATTATACTCGCTTTGCTTGTCAGAGCTGCACAAGACAGAGTGCAGCTACCAGACATTGAAGGTATTGTCTGGCATCTCCTGGAGCAAGGCGGCCGTGAATGACGAAACGTGCAAAGAGGAAGCTTGCACGTCCGCTGCACAGGCTCCAAGCAGCTCGCACGAGGTTTCCCATGCCAGTGTTGGGTCGATCATCCCTCCAGCATGACAGCAGTCGAAGATGAAGAGTTTGGAGCAAATCGGACTAGCGTTGAATATTGCCTGCATATTCATCGACCAATTAATCTGTGGTGATCTAGGGCGGTTTTCTTTCTTTCACAGCCGTCTTGTCGTGGTGTCGGATATTGTTGCATACCCTCCATAGTACAGGATGAACAAACCGTCTCGATCCTTTGAGACTTTGCACAACTCACCACCAATGATTGAGATGAATTCCCAATCCTCGACATTGTCCGGAATCTTATATACCAGTACCTCGAACTTGAAATCGTCTTTGAACAGTCTGCCGAGCTTATCGGCCTGAGCACGGAGATGGTCCAGCCCGGAAGCTGACTCCCAGTAGGCAATGACGGCAACCACCTTTTTGAAATGTGGCCTCTTATTCGACAATATAGTTTTCGCAGCCCTTGTTATATCGGGCGCCAAGTCGGAGACTGTCTGCCAGTAGTGCTCGCTCGCCGGTATTCCATCCGAGTCATCGACCGGGACGTCGCCCTGTGAGGTGGCAACCGAGTTGGCGGAATTCGGGGATTCACAATCGTCAACTGAAGGTGCTTCTGTGGTATTTGGCTCTGTCATTTTAACAGAAACACCGCTTCGGTCCGGTTCGTTGCTGGAATTCTTTGAGCCTGACCTGACAGGGATTCCAAGGAGCCAGCGTGTGACAAGAGTTCAATAGAAGGCTTGGAGTAAAAGACTCGACTCAATAATACTCTCAAAGGGTGTCAAAGGTCCTTGGTTTTCTAAGATGAGGAGGGAGACGAGTGCCCACTATGTATACATGAAGTGAACGTCTGTGCCTAGGGCTCTTGCCCGGCTGTGTGTTTACAACAAAAGTACAGGTTCACCGTAAATATGCCTCTAATTATAGAGGTTATAGTATTAATTTTTAGAGGATAAGATGCTGCTTTTAAAGGATAATTTATAAAGTACTAGAGCTAACTTTAATTAGCCTTACCCTTTTATAGTAGTATTACCTAGTTAAGGCCTTATAAGTATAATATTTATTATAAGTATATAACCAAAAAAGCTACCCTTTTACTTATAATTAATATAAGTTATTAAGTATCCCCTTTTTTATCTTTTATTAACTACTTAAATATAATTATAATAAAGAAATTTATATACCGATTGCTCGCGTCGCCCATCCAAATAATACCTGAACTTGGAGACGTTTAAAGATAATAAGAAAGAGCAGTGCGCCCACAAAGCCGCCAGAGGTAACTATGCCGGTTACAAGCCCACATCTTGTGCTGAAGTATTATAAAATAATAGCCAGGCCGGGAACTAAAAGTAGGCCTGATCTAGTTCTAATAACCAGACCCTGGACCAGGAATATTTGGTAATACTCGGTTGATAACGATGTTATTATTAATCCTGTGAGGGGGCTGAAGACTTGCGAGGCAGAGTTACAGCTAGTAAGGGTATTGGGGCGTAATATCTTGGCGTATTTATTAGTCTAATTAGAGCTCCTGGTATTAGTATACTTGATGTCTTTTAGTGTAAAATGTAGAGAAACTAGGAGTCTCCGGCAAAGATTATCCGTTTCTAACAAGAGTGTAGTTTTATAGTACGATTAATACTGATAGTAGTTTCTGTAAAAGGGGTTTGTAAGCTTTTTGCGGTCAGTGTTGTCTACTTATAAAGGGCTTGTAGGCTCATGATTTTCGGCGAATAGTCTGCTTCTAGCCTTCGTCTTGTTCCTGGGTTCAGGGACTTTTATTTTGTCCGAGCGTAATCTAGGTCGCGACCTATAACCTAGTCTTTGTGGCTGCCGGACATGAACGACTCTACGTCTGGTAGGCCATGCGAGGTCCCCACCACCTCGACGATAAGGAAGGTCGGAGACGGCGACTGCACATGTGGCTACCGGATCGGAACGACGTGACGGCACTTACCACGGCATTAAGGCAAGTTACTCGGTGCTCGGGACATCTCATAGAACACCTAGTCCCTGTTGGCCTCTCTTGCACGCTGAGCTAGGCACTATAGCATTAAATGATACGAATCTCTGTAATTATTACTACAAAGCCTTAATTAGACTACAAAAGAAAGGATCGTATGCGCCTTTTTATAAAAGGGGCTTGGCTTCACGTATTACGAGGCACAGCAGCTTACATGGCCTTTATTACGTGACCTATTGACCTGTAACAGCTAGGTCCACCGTTGTGTTGTGCGACAGCCTCAGTATCATACTGGTCCTATTTTATTTGGAACTCGGCGAAGGTGGTGCTTACCTCCAGTTAAGCCGAGTCCGTCTAACGCTAGACTGGCGGTAAGCACTATTAACCCGAGTGCGAGCTCCCGAGTTTCATATAAAGAGGGGCGTGACACGGTACCGCTCGTGCTAGATAATAATAGTGCACGGACCGCAGTTGTCTCGGAAGTATATCGGATACGCATCCGAAAATAGAATTGTTAGAGCCGAGTATAGCAATCTTCCAAGATATATTAACTCTATATTAATTAATTGTTAATTGTTGGTTGTTTCGCTCTGTAGTCAAATGAAATTACACGCATGATACTAGTATCGTGCAAGCGTAAAATCTAAAACAGTATTGGGCTGTACCAGGCCAAGGACAGTAGGAGACTAGAAAAGTAGACCATCTCAGCGCAATTGGTGCCGCGCCGTGGCCCGCTAGTCGCGGCCACCTCGCGATAGCTTCAGCTACTGTCATGTAGTCAAACCTTGTATGTTGTCGTTCGCGGCCGTGACTCACGCCGAGTCACGCCGAAAACCTAAAATGCCCACACACGCAGTATATATCTGCAAGGTCTGCCCTCTCCCGCATTCCGAGTCGATCCTGCATCCAAGTCATCTGCCTCTTCTGCTATCAAGACCCAACACAACCAATCGTGAGTCGCTGCCCCTACACACACACATCTCCCACAAGCACTTGCTGACATCCACCACAGCTATCTACAAACAACAACAACAAGATGACCAAGCATGACAAGAAGCCCAACACAAGTAGGTTGCCTATTGCAACCTTCAAGGGTCAAAGCTAACAAGGCCCAGTGGGCAACGCAGCTATCAACGGATTAGAAGCCCTCCGCAACAGAAGGGATGCCTGCCTTAAGGCCAAAAATCCCGATTCTGCGGAAATCAAAGAGGTCACAAAGATGATCAGGAATTTGGAAAAAAAGGCCTCCAAAAACGCTGAACCAAAGCGTAGCACCAAGGAAGCTATGAGACTGGCCACGAAAGGGGCCGACACGGCTAGCAAAGCCGAGGCCAAAGAGGCCAAAAAGGCCAAAAAGGCCTACAAGGCCAAAGCTGCCAAATAAATCTGTATTGGCGGTTTTACCTCTTCCGGAGGGTATTAACTCTATATAATTCTAAACTAATGCTTTGTAGATAATTTTGGTCTACTCTGGGCTATATCTTGCCAATATGGGAGTATTTCTTTCTTTAAACTGGTTTTTTCTACTTGCCGGGCTTGCCTTGACGAGCACCGGTACTGCGGCCCAAAATCTGGTCCAGGTCCAACTCACATCAGGCACCAAGATTACTGGGAGATTAAACTCTGGAGTCGAAACATACAACGGCATACCATATGCTGATCCGCCAATCGGCCCGCTGCGCCTTCGTCCCCCACAGAAGATTTCACGCCATTTGGATAGTGTAGACGGTACAGGCATAGCCGCTGCCTGCCCCCAGTTGCTTCTATCGCCTGCGGACAAGAACATAATCAGCAGTATTGGTAGCCAGATCCTGGACTTGCCATTCTTCAAGGATGTGAAGGGCCAGGAAGACTGCCTAACTGTCTCGGTTCAGCGCCCGGCCAATATCAAGCCAGGCGACAAGCTACCGGTACTATTCTGGATATACGGGGGCGGCTTCGCACTCGGCAGCACCAACACATACGATGGAGCATCGCTTGTACGCGAGGGCGTGGCAAACAACCAGCCTTTTATTTTTGTGGCCGTTAATTACCGAGTCGGTGGCTTTGGTTTCATGCCCGGTATCGAGATGCTAAATGAGGGTAGTGCAAACGCCGGCCTTCTTGATCAACGAATGGGCCTTGAATGGGTAGCTGATAACATTGACCAGTTCGGCGGTGACCCGGATAGAGTCACTCTTTGGGGAGAATCAGCCGGCTCGATATCAGTGTTTTACCAAATGGCTCTCTATGGTGGTAACTCAAGCTACAAGGGCAAGCCGCTGTTTCGAGGCGGCATCATGAACTCCGGGACGACTATTCCTGCCGAGCCAATGGATGGGTTTAAGGGACAAGCCACATATAATCAGGTGCTCAAGGAAGCTGGTTGTGCCGGTACCGTCAACAATACGCTCTCTTGCCTCCGAGAACTCGACTACGATACCTTTTACAACGCAGTGACCCAAACGTTTTCAGGCATCTTTTCCTTTTCTGGTACCAAAATCTCATTTCCACCGCGCCCGGATGGCAAAGTGCTTCCACTAAGCCCGGACGAACTCGCCGCAACCGGTCAATACTATGCCGTGCCAATTATTGCAGGCGACCAGGAAGACGAAGGGACGATATTCGCGCTCTACCAACAAAGCGTCAAGACAAATGATGATTTAGTAAACTACTTTTCTCAATTTGTATTTCCAAACGCAACCAAGGAGCAGCTATCGGAGCTAGTTGAGGCATATACAAAAGATGACGAGGGTAGTCCTTTCCGCACGGGGCCTATCAATTCGCTATACCCCATGTACAAGCGCATTGCCGCAATTATAGGCGATATGACTTTTACACTATCACGACGCAGCTTCCTTGAGGCGACCGCCAAGGCAAACCCCAACATGCCTGCCTGGTCATTTTTATCCTCGTACGCGCACCCACTACCAATTTTAGGCACATTTCACGCGTCAGATCTTATCCAAATCTTTTATGGCATTCCACCTACCCACGCAACTAGCAGCACCCGGCAATACTATTTTAACTTTTTATATAATCAAGACCCAAACAAGGGAAATAAGGGCCAACTTAACTGGCCCGTGTGGAAGGAGAATAACACGCTAATGTGGTTCAAGACGCAGTTGGATAATGGATACCTGACAGATTCCTTTCGCAATAATCAGTATATAGTTTTAGCTAAATTAGCCAAAGCCAAAGTTTTGCGTCAGTAGCAGCTAACCGGCTAATATCAAATGAAGTTTCGTTTATTAATTATATAAGAAGACTTGATAAAATTATGAAATATTATAAAATTATTAATATCTAAGTTTTAAAAATCAATGCAGATTCGGAGGATCAAGGCAAGCCGCACTGGAAGACAAGGCTCGGCGCTCGTGTATGCTTTCAAGGCATGCGCATCATTAGCCAACGGATCCGGAACAACGCAAGACGGCCATGACAAGAGGGCCCTCGCACTCTATTGGCATCAAGGCGCTCGCCGCAGCACATGCCGCCCTACAACAGGCTGTGGCCATTGGGCATGTCGCGACACTGGCATCTGTCAATTGCTACATATAGGCATTTTCGAGAGCATGACAGCCAAGAGAGCTGGCCCAACGCAATGGGCATGCCACCAGACGTCGACAGTACTATACAAGTCCTACGAGCAATCGGCGAAGAGCAATTAAGCACGGAGAGCGGCCAAAATCTGCTGACCAGTATCAAAAGCGAATTACTAATTGTGTATATATTATTCCCGAGCTGCTCTCAACACAAATCAAGGCAAGTTGCTGAATCCTTTTGCTGAACAGATTGTCATGCTGCCGCCTGAGTCTTGTTGGCGAATGGTGGCCTGGGAACCACGTCTCTCGCGAGGATTGCTCCGATGTAGAGTTATTCCCTGGACGCATAGACACGTACAATGACTTGTCTATCGCGCGATTCTGGAACTCAATGCCATGTGCCATGTGCGCACCTGATGCTATTTTGCACCATGGTGCGATGCGAGGTCTGGGGAACATACCACATGAAACGGTGTCGTGGGCTACTTTCTGCTCTGGACACTGACCCATCTGTTATGACAAGATTATCTCACTGCTGCTCAGCCTACCTGGTTAAAAGATCGCCTCAAATATATGGGCACCGAGCTTGGAATCACGCTTGGCATGTGTCTTGGTCAGGTACCAAGATGGTGCAGCGTGAACACCATCCTCTACCCGTGCCACACTCGGGCTAATATTGGTGCTCCAGTCCATAACCTACTGCTTCTGTCTGTCCGCACTCAATTGCATGTTTGCTGCATCGTTATGTGCAGAGACATCGGTTGGTCATCCGCTGTGTTGTGCTAAATTGCTATTCTTCAAAAGAACCCTAACCCTGTCCCTTCAATTAGGACGCTTCCTAGACCTTTTAACTACATATGTAGATATAGACCCCGATGCCTTTCGAATTGCATTCGGGCGTTCAACTTGTTACAAGCCATCGTTTACATCACAGCATCTCAGCTGCCAACGCCACAAGACCACCAACAAGAGGAAACACGGCCCTGAATATGTTGACGTTTCCCCACTGGACAATCGCCTTGCGAACCTCGACTACTTCGGGGCTTCTTTCTCCTTTTCTCTTATCTAGGGCTGCAAAAAGAATCTTCTCGGGGCCGCTCAAGATGACAATGGTGTAGGGGATGAGACTCGCACACGAAGCAGCCGCAGCAAGAAACACATTCCGGTGCGTTTGGTAGCGCAGCCACGCAAAACATGCAGTGGAAAACAGGACCATCGGGGTACCGACGTAATGGCACTTTTGGTAGACGTTGAGCCAGTAGCGGCTAGCAAGTTCCGGGGAAGAGGTTGATTCTGCTGCCAAACGCGCTGTACTCACTCCGCCGAGGGAGAAGGCAAAGATGGACCCTGGCGCCAGTAATCCAACGCGTCAACACACTATGACATGTTGGTGGAGGATTCTCAACTCACCAGATACGAATATCGACGATGCAGTTCCGAGTGCCAGGACACTCGATCCAAGATGAGGCATTGTCACTCTTTTATCAGTTTCTTGCAGCTGATTGAGTAGATTCTAGAGACAAAGGGCTCGATATTTCAGGCGGAAAGGAGTGCTGTATTTTTTTGGTTGGCCAGGATTTCGAGAAACCGGGGACTGGCCGCAAAGCCGGGACATATATACGGCCGGTTCGGTCCTCGCTACTCCGTGCAATGCCGACACTTGCTATAAACGGCATTCGCAAACGCCAAGGCAATCGGCCCGTGCAATGGACAGGGTGCCCGGCGTTGGCCGAGTTGACGTAACCGTCCACGTCCACTCTTGGTCGGTTACTCTTATGTATGCTATTTAGCCTCAGCCCCGCTAGAAGCCGCGCAGTTTGTCGGCCAAATGCAACCCCGTGTACGGAAGTCGCCCCAAGTCATGGCCGAAGCCATGGCGGCATGTCTTGAATAGTTTCAAATCACCTGGACCAACCAAAATGGTGGCGGCTCACTGGTCCACCGCCTCCACCGCACTCATGACCTGATGCCTATAAAGCACCCTCTCCCGACCAAGTGACGGAGTGTAACGAAATCTGTCCATTGAAAAGGATTCCAAAAGCAAAAATGGCAACATATCAACTCCCCCCCCTCGTTGCTGTTGCCGCGGGCATTGTCGGCTCCTCATGGATGTCAGGTGAGCATACTCGAGCCAAGTCGCCTCAACATGTGCTCATGTACTGAACCCAACCGCAGGCGCAATCGCATCCCTCAGTGTCATTGGTGTTCCTACCGCGCAACAGGTGGCCAAATCTTCAGTGCTCGTGTGGCATGGCCTATTCAGCAACGGCATGGCCTTGATGCCCAAATGCGCCGTCGCCACGGCTCTGTCTTATTCTTACGCCGCCTACGGACTACGTGGGCAGGAAAGCGCCAAGGCCTGTTTGCTTTCCGCGGGACTCGTTGTTGCCATCATTCCCTTTACCCTTGTATTCATGTCGTCGACGAATGCGTCATTGCTGGGCGCTGTGAAGGGAACAGCTTCTTTGAGCGCGGGTGAAGTCTCCGGTCTCATCCGGAAATGGGGCTATTTGAACCTGGCAAGAAGTCTTTTGCCACTCGTTGGAGGAGTCGTGGCCTTGTCCAGTCTGATGAAGCATGGGGGAATTTTGGCGAGGGATGGGGGACTGGCCATGTAAGCTGCTGAGAAGTACAGCGCGGACATGATTGATCAGTGAATGCTCTTCTTGTCCTCGCTACACCTGTATTGTAAGACTATGGTAGAAAACTTGTTCTGAATCTCGGAAATTCCTACGACAGCGCAATGCCGGCGGCCAAGGTGACGTGACGTCGCCACCCCTTGACTTTTTATGTGGAAATTGAGAGATGAAACGCTTGCGTCTGTCCTGTTACTGACTAAACGGGTAAAGATTCATTTTAAAATGGGCCTTTTCTCTCGTCACGTCATCCTGATTCATTTCATCTGGGGTATTTGGCGCGGTTATGCCCCATTTCGTGTGGATGTTTGAAGGTACATACGTGAACTATAGCCATTTGGTGCGATTCTGAGGACCCAATCTCACCGTCGGCCGCGATTGGTCTGGCAGTCGTCAGGTTGGGTAGCGAACGAAATGGAATACATGTTCCTGCTCGAGGCAATATCTGTACAAGGCCTGAACGCGTTGACTGGACTCATCATATGATACAGGGTTCATGCGGTGGATTACCAACTGACGTGTTGCTTCATGCGGCTCATGAGATACTATGCATTATGCATGCCGGGCCAATCGCGGACCTATGGATCCTCGCTTAGAGTTTTATTGTGCGGCGCGGCTGTCAATCAAGGGGACTAGGCCACTGTTTCTCAATTATCGGCCCATGGGTCCGGCGATGAAAGCCGACTTTCGGCACCGGACCACGGGGGCCACGCCGAGGGGTCCGAGGGCTCCCAGGTCTGCGATTGGCCAGCTCAACATGGCATTAAAGGCCTGGCACTAATCCGTGCTCGCCAGCATGTACGCAGTACGTGTGGTCAATGACATGGATTGATTCCACCATGTTCTACATGGAACACAGCAACCTCTGTCAGAAAGCTGGTAAATGAGGGCGTTTGGCTTAACACCTCTGTACGGCAAATAGTCAGTGGGTAGGGGCATTTCAATCGACAAAGTACATGTAACTTTTGAAAGCTTCAAAGCTCCCTGGAAACTGCTATGGGGCCCGACTTTTACCATTTCTGGTTCAGATGGCTGTCTGGGCATACAACCCGGCGTGGCGGATCGCATCCTTGCCTATCCTACAGAGTTATATACGTTTCCGGGTGGCTTAGCAACGCGATTTGCTTTTATTCTATTGGAGCTTCTATGACCAACGCTTGTCGTCTGTGGTCGGTCGTCGGCATTCATCAAAGCCAGCTTCTAGGTGCACCATGCGGTGTGCTGAGTCGTTTGGCGGCAATAAGCCGGCGTGACTCAATTGCGCCACCATAAATCAGGCCAAGCGATCCCATTAGGCTGGGCCTATACGCCGCTTGTTCCACAGGAACGCATGGAAACGGCTCGGGCATGCCGGCGAGTTCGAATGTTCCGACATGGAGCCCCTCTGCGATGCTAAAATCGTACAACACTGCTTTGGACGGCTCGGCAGACTGCCGCAGTCAACATGGAAGGATTACATGGAATAACTTTGCCACATTTCATGCCCTTTTGCCATGGTTATACTTCCAAGAATGGCAGCCGTCTTACATGTTTCCCTCCAGATGTTATTTCCAGTCCCAACGCTCTACGCCCCCTTTTCACACACCTCGATACGCCATAATGAACACTGCAGCGACATGACTTCTGCTGGTAGGCCTGTGGCTCTCTAGCCGTATGTGGCCATTTCACCAAAGCTACCGTCACACTCGATCTGATGTGATTTCACAAGTAGTCCGACAAAGATGGAATAGGATGAGTCAGAATTTGCAAAAAGTCATGCCTCTGCGTCAATTCCTTCCTCAATATAGTTTGCGAAACCCCGTGTGACAAGGGTTCAGTATGAAGGCTTAGAGCAAAAGGGGCTCAATTTAATAATAATCTCGACGGGTCTCTAAGGTCTTAAGTTACTACGAGAAAGGAAGAAAAGGGTAACCGCCTTATATATATATAAGGAACGCCTAGGCCTAGGGTCCTTACCCGGGCACGTGTTCTCGTTGTGTAACTAATAAGTCTTGTATTAGTAAAGCCCCTTTATTGGGCTTCACGATCTGTTGGGCCTTTTCCGTGTAACACCCCGACGGAACGAAGCTCGACTCGGCAATTTTCAGCCTTTTTAAACCTCCCACAGCCAAAAGTTGTATCAACATCTCAGCCCGATAGTACCCATCACTCATAAAATGCAACAGTATTCGGTTAGCCTTTGATTGGTTCCCCCCAATGGTCCATCCTTCCCACTGCCCTTGTGAGAACCCCCTCGTCCATCATACATGGTAAACCAAGGTATATCTTGTATCTGAGCTGGAGCTTCTGGCCAAGAAGCCACGAAATAGACAAGTCTAGCCATGGCATACGTCTCGCGATAGTCTTGAAGTAACTGACGCAGTCTTGCCTTTACATGGCCGTCTGTAACACACCACGCAGCCAATAGAGCCTGAGGCACATGGTGTGCACACAATGGCCGTTCGTGCATAGCTCTCTCCGCAAGAGCGATTACTTGGGCGCAAAGTACAACCTTTTGTCCAACTAGTGCTGTATTGCTTGGATGAAAAGTGCGCAGGAATGCGTTGAGAACAACTGCGCTACCGGCACACATGCCGTGTATTTCATTAAGACGCATGAAATCCCACGTGTCGAAATATGGGCATTCCTTATTAGCCATGACGCATTTATTGACCAGCAGACACACCTCTATTAGATAGTCATACGTAGATTGCACTTGGTGTTTGTTCTCTCTGGGGTTTCTCATAAGGCCCGGAATCATTGATATGGGTGCAAGATTGACGGCTGTGAGCTCGGGTTTAGTCGCGGTGGAAGTAGACGGTTTCCAGAGCGGCGGCCCAGGCAGACTGTACAAGGTCTGGATCCACGGAAACAGCTGAATATTGGGGTTAAAAACAGCCTGTTCAACCTGGTATTCATGGTCAATCACATGCATGTTGCGGAAGAGAGTTGTATTAAGATGTTATTACATGGGACTTACCACTTCTGCCAACATGGCATAGCATAACCCTAGAGCAAATGGGTCTTTTGGCCTTTGGACCAATAAGACTTTTAGTAGGTGTGTGAGGCCTTGGCCATGTCCACAGGCGATGGTACTATTCTGATGCATCCAAACATGGCATTGCGCCAGAAGACTCGCCGAGAATATAGTGCTGAGGCGGTATCTTTCGTCTGGGGCGGCAAGAGCCCTCTGTAGTCCTTTGAGGCTGGAAATGTACAATTGTCGTGACCTATGAGATGGTTGCTGAAATGCCGATGGCCCATGTAGAGTTTCTAGAAGACTAGTAAATGTTGCGACAGTGGTATCTAGCACTTTTGAGTAGCCCATGCGCTGAGGGAGTTGCTTTAACAGATTCGGTCGCCAACTGTTCAAGCCATACCCCGGATCAGTCACGTTCAGAAAATACAGTAGCTTGCTAGAAGTTCTGTCGTTTGCATTGCACAGTGGCGATTTCGGGCTAGAAAGAGATGCCTGAGCGGCTGCGATAATATTATGAGTAACATCGTAGCGCTCACAGTAATTTGCAGATATAGTGCATCGATTGCAAACAGGTTTGGTCTCGTCGCATTTGATGCGTCGTCGCCTATGACATGTGCTCATTTGACGTTAAATAATGTAATCAATCTGCCATTTATCGATTCAGGGACAACCCACCGGCAAGTCAAACACCCAGTTCTGGCCTTTGGTGCCCAACGCTTTTGCCTTTGCGCCAAGGCGGGCCAAGATTGTGTATCAGGAATTCCTGTGCCGGGGGGTGCCTGATAGGCGTGTTGGCCTGCAGCCACATGCATGTTGCCTGTATCAGGAGGTACGTTGGTTGGATAGTATGTAGTTGCATGTGGTATTGAGTCAACATTCGGAGTCTGGTGTGAAGAAAACTTCGACCCCTCTGCACGCTTACATGTGATGCAACATTGCAAGAAAAATACTTCGGGACCGGAGGCGAGAGTGTAAACCGAGCCACCGAGGGCTCAGCCTGTTGCAGCCAAGTAAGACATTGTAATACACCAAAGGTCGTGGTGGTCCCGAAGAAGCTTCGCATATCCCGAGGATTTTGCGCATAATGCAGCAGTGTTGAGGGTCCCGCGTGATCACGTGCGAGCAACAAGCCTCGCGGGCAGATGAAAAGCCATCTGCACATTCTTCTTCCTATACCCTCTTACTTGGACTTTACAAGATTATCAATATAGAGCATCATTTGATGACAATATCCTCTATGGCCGAGTCCCTCTACAGCCAGCATCATAGAACCTCGACAAGCAGCCACAGTTGACGTCGATGTATGGAAAAGCTTCGCTTAGTAAGCAAGGGAAGCAGAGTAAAACTTGTCGGCGTCACAGCAAGAAACGCGCCCTGGAATTCGACGACGGTGAAGGCTCAACTTTGCGACTGGCATGCAAAATGGGCAGTAAGCACAAGGCTGAATTCTTCCAAAAGCACCAACACGCAAAATCACCACCGTCTCAACGAAGCCCAAAAGCTAATCCTGGACTTGGAGATGTGCTGGGGCTCGTTGCCAATCCGCCGTCCGGCGGGCCATAAGAGTCTGCACACTCGTTCGTCCTCTTCCTCTCCTCTCCGCTTCAAATGACTCCCGCTTATAATCACCATGGGCTGTTTAATTTCGTGGGTTTAAATGGTGTCAACATGGTGCAGGTGACCTAGTGTCGCGTATACACCGACGCCGTCGCAGTGTCATGCCGAATTATAATTACAGCTACCTTGAGATGTGCTTATACTTAAAAAAATAATAATAATATAAAATAAAGTCCGTTAAACCTTGTTCGTTCTATTCAATTATACATTACTACGGTTGACCAAGCAAGCAATCCACACGAACGTAGAAACGTCTCCAGAAAGCTTGCAGCCAAATACTCAAGTTGGCTTCTCCGATATAAGAATAAGCTAATTTTTCCTTTGCTACCAGATAATTATATCATAGTAATAAGAATATTATATATTATCGAATCAAAGGGCGTTTAGGAACTGTAAACGATATATTGTATTGCCAAACATGACCCCTGCTGGCTCGTCTTGCTACTCGTGCCAATATTCCAGCGTTGTGGCGGTCTTAACAGCGAATAGAGAAAAAGCGCTCCTTAACCGGGGGATTTATGCAGTACCCCGCAGCAAAAAAAGTCACATTGGGCGAAGGGCACTTCATCTTGCACATATGAATCAAATAGAAGCTGTTTATTCATACAGCTTGGTACAAATGGTACGCGGATCGCCAACTAGTACTACCACGAGATTCAAAATGCCAACGTCTCCTAGGCATGAAGAGGCGGGAATCGGTCCAGTTGGCTGGCGAACCAACATTGAACCTTTACCATCAAAATTGTGGCGTCCTGGTCTCGACTGGCTGGCCGTCACAAGGTGCGGAGCGGAGGCGGAGGCGGACACGGACAAGGACACGGGCGCGGACATGAATTGTTAAACTCAATCATTCGACAGCAGAATTTCCTTGTCATCATTTAAACTAAATCGGGGCTAAAAAGACATTTACACCAACGCCCAGTTTAACTCCATTCGTCAGCATCGGCTAGCTTGATGCCCCGATGGAAATAGTCACGTCCTTGCTATGTATCCGCCCCCCTCATCAGCTCTGCCTGCGTCACATAAAAGCTAGACATGTCATTATCCCCCATTTGGCCATCCAAAAAAGTAGTCCAATCCCCAATTTGCACATCCAGTCCCGGAGGCGATGGCGATGAAGCCGTTTCACTCTGCCGAGCCCGGTCCGTCATCCACCCATAGTCTATACTATTCCAGAGTTGTTCAATTTCCCCCGTGTCAATATCTTCTTCGACAGCGGCAGGCGAGGGATCAATGAGGAGGCGCGCCGACCGACCATCTATACTCAGTGCTCGCAACGAGGATGCCATCATGCCGTAGTTTGGCCATCGAGCGGGGAGGTGTTCCAGGAAGCCCAGACACATCTCCAAGCATGCGTTTGCCCGGGCCGCAATGTGTGGTGTCGGCGATAGAGCAAATATATGGTGGACAGACGCCGCGCACGTCGCTACGTAACCCAGAAAGCTGCCACGGGCGCAGCAGCCAGCAGATCGTAGTGTTTCCAGCATGTTGCTCAGCTGGGTCGCGTGCTCTCTGCATCGATCGAGTAGCTCTCGAGCAAACGTAGTCGGGAAGCTGGCGCCCTGGGATTTTCTGTATCTGCGCAGACTGACAGGGTGACAGAGGAGACTGCCGCAGAGGTGGTATACGGCTCTTGCCCAGATAAAGTGGCCGACTCGCTGGCGATCAAAGCCCTCGTATGTGCCGAATCTAGCGGAAATATATGGCCCTAGATGATCCGACCCCGTAGTGTGAAAGTTTTCAAACGTCATCAGGATGCTGCTAATCTGGGCAAAGTTGCTCCGGCAGTCCCACGGCGGTATTTTCGACGCGTTCTGCTGAAAGGTTTCCCGAACAGTGAGACTCAGAGCAGAGCACATCAACACCAGGATGGCAAAGTCATCTAGTCGCACCAACTCAGCCATGTTGCTAGGTAAATCCTTGACAAGCGCAATCGTCGGTAGCTTCGTGGGCGTCTCCATGCGAAAGGCTTCTTCGCTGCAGGGCAGGGCGAGTGTGCAGTCCATGTCCAGAATGGCCGGTGGGTGAGACCTCCCGCAGGAGACAAACTTGTCGAGCAGGTAGACGGACCAGAAGACGCGTCTGCGTTCTTCTTGCTGCCACGGCGGCAGCGACGGGTCCGGCTCTGCATTCAGCTTGAGGCTTTGGACTAGGCGGACGGCAAGGCCGATTTTGACCCAGCCCAGGCGGTGTCGGCCAGCTACAAAGCAGCCATTTAGTTACTCAAGGTGCGTTGCCTCGTCTGGTGAGCGGAAGAATTGGTTGCCTACCGGTAAAGTCAATGATGGCGAGTAGACTGGTCGCTTGGGCGGCTGCGACATTGTCGGGGCTGGGCTCCGTGGCAAACACTTGGTCGAGGATGATGATCCAGGCCGCCCGAGCCAGGCCCTCGACGGCTTCGAGTTCCGAGCCGCGAAAGTAGTCATGGGAGCTGTAGCGCGCGGCCGTGGCGGCGAATGCGAGGAGGAGATAGTGTGGCAAGTCGCCGGCAATGAGGCGCCGACGGAAATGATTTTCGTGAAAGAAGCAGTATGGTTGGTTCTGGCAATTGGAAAAGTAGACATCGGCTAGTGACTTGAGTACGGGCACCGGGGGAAGCTGGGAGAACTTTTTCTTCTGGTCGCTTTCGACGGCGTCTCCCACGGCGGTGCTCGGCACGTCAGCCCAGGTAGGCGCCGGCTGCATGGGCGGAGACGGCGACGTTGTGGACGAATGTTTCTCGGCGTCGGCGGCCGTTCTTTGTGCGTCATCATATTTGATGGTGGTATTGTTGGTGGTGGTGACGACTTGGGCTTGTTGTGCGGCGCGGAGGTCAGCCTCGAGTCGCGCAACTCGTACGAGGAGCTCGTCCTATACTCGCATGGAAGCTGGTATCAGAAGCTGGGCTTGAGAGGCACAGTCTGGGTGTGTAACTCGCGCGCAAAACAAACGTACATTGACAACGGCAGAGGGCAAACGCCGTGGTGCCGGAGCTGCCGCCGTGGAATGGGTTGGATATTCACAAGTTTGGCCAAGCCGGACACAGAGTGCGCAAGCTGGGCGCTCCCCGTGGCAGCGAGTCTTTTTCCGCCTGCAACGTGAATCAAGGTTGCTCAGTTGGAAATTCCCCAGGTGGGCAACGCATGTTGGAACTCACCGGCAATTCAAACATGCCAGACGAGGTCGCCTCATCTCGCGCTCAGCAGAGTAAGACATGGGAGCAATGTTGTCATTCCCTAGTGGTCCCCAACGGTCCAACGACCTTGCTCGAAGAGGGCATCGGATGGCCAGTGTGGTGGTTGTGAGGGGACAAGTTCAACGGCAACGGTTGTGGCAGTGGGGAACTCTCCTCTTGTCCGAAGAATTGAACCGGAAAATATCGAGAGCTAACCGGTTGACATGCGGGGAAGTAGATGTAAAGTGTGGGTTGCCGTGAACGAGCCGCGTTGCCCACTCTATGGCGTTTGTTGCAACTCTATGTGTATGTGGCTAATCTACTTGGTTGCCAACGGGTCGACCGGCATGCTGGTGCGGCCTGTTGCAAGGCGCAAGTATGAATACAGCTGTAGTAGAAGACTTGACTCATGGAGAACTGCCCCGCGGCGCTCTTTCTGCACGGGAAATGGGAATTTACACTCATTGCACTTGTCCATGTAGCCATTTGTCTCAGCAAACAGCCTTTACTCCATCTACCATCATCTCGACACGCTCGACAAAACCCGTTGACTGCCTACAACTTGGCCATGGCTCGCTGCTCCTGAGCAACGGAAAGCTCGGAAAGGATCTCTTCGCTGCCGCCTCCAACAATCATGACCCTCACATCACGGCTGATTTGTTCCACGCGACCACCGCGACCACCGCGCGAGTATCCCAGCCCCCCCATGACCTGCTGCATTTCTCGGTTGACAAACTCCAGCGTCTGCCCGCATAACACCTTGAGGTTGGCAAACAGTCCGCCCATGTACAGATCTCTACCGCCATCCTGACCCCTGCTGGCGACTTGTTCCATGTACACAAGCTGTTCCATCCATGCCGTCGCCGAGTCTACTTTGCGTCCGCTGGCGCTGAATTTGGCGCGGATCACTTGATTAGCGAGCAGCGGCTTGCCAAACGTCTCTCGAACCTGTCCATGTTTGTACGCGTCCTCGATGCAGCAGCGCGCAAGCCGAAGGCTCGTGCAAGCCAGCCACAAGCGCTCATGGTTAAAGTCTACCAC